GCGCCGCAAGCCGCACTAGAGCTGGGTGCACCGCGTTGGAGACCCGCACTGGAGCCGCTGATATGCCCGATACCGAGCCACCATCTGCCTGCCATCCTTTTCATGGTTTCCATGGGTTTGCGAGACCTCAACAGGGCAGAGGCCTCATCGTGGTGCACGCACGGAAGCCTCGCACTCGCGCAAAAATGGCTTATTGCGCGATTTCACGACCGCATGGGCAGACATGAGCGGAGGGGGTGCGTTCCGCGTTGCCAGCCCGTCGGGGCACATGGGCATGTTCCGCGTTTACGCGGCAGGCGGCTGGTGCATTGCGGGCGCCAGTCCCCTCTGCAATGGACATTCCGTAGAAACTTTCTGATCACCGTAGCACGGTTTTGGCTGGCCCTGTAAATACCTACGCCCTTGGGCTGTGAGAATGCAGATTCCCCCTTGGCGTACACAGTTGCGGCCACCCGTCCTAGGGAACTCAAGCCCTTACTCTCTCTCACCACCCTTTTCTCAGATGTCCTCTCCCCCTCGGCTATTAGCCATCGATGCACGTCTAGACACATCACCGCAACTTTGACAGCATCAGCGCGTCTTTCCCCAATAGTGTCCCTGACGTCCTTGCTCTGCTGCGTACAGTGAGTACCTCCCCAAAGTCCACGCACCCTGATATCCCATGTTGTGTCATGCCCAACAAGTAGGGTCTGCGCAACTCCCTCCTCCCAGGCCAGAAGTGGTATGCTTGCACGGCCCGTCCTCACGCCCCCCGCATTTGTAGGGAACTCAGGATCTTCTCGGGTCTTGTCCTCTTGGCCTATTGACCCCGAAGTCCTAGTGGCTGTTGATGCACTCAAGCCTCCCGTAACGGCCGCTAGGACGCCGGGGTCGATGGGCCAAGAGGACGAGACCCAAGAAGTGACTTGTGTGTGTGGGGGTTTCCGAGTACGATCCCGAGTTCCCTACAAACACGGAGGCGCAGCGGAGGGAGGGGGTCGCGCGAGCTTATTGCTCCTGACCCAGGGGTAAGGGATTGCGCGGACGCGATGCGAGGCGGGATACCGGTGCGCTGTGACGTATAGGAAGTGCTCACTGTATTCGACGTAGACAAGGGCGTCGGGGTGCTATTGGAGGAGGCTCGCGAATGCGGTCGGGATCGCAGTCGCAGACGCAGGCGCAAATGCAAACTTGAGCTCTGAAGGGGTAAAAGGAAGTGCATTTCCTGGTGCTCGGGGCCCGCGTATATACAGGAGGGGCCGGAGCCATATGGGAAGGATGATTGGGCCACTATGGGGGCTGCGCTCTACTGGCCTTGCCTAGGCTGTCGGGGCCGCGCGTACCACGCGGTGTGATTGGTGGGCGGGGGCGTATGCGCCGCAACCCCCGACGAGCGTATCGGGTGTTTCGTACTGCCCTTGAACCCCGATTCTTGGCGGGGCTTGGCGCTCTCGGTCGGGGCTGCTTAGCGCGGCTCGCCTTGCTCGACTCGCGGGTGGCGAATGGGGGTGGTGCGTGGGCGTCCAGGCGGCCTTCGGGGAGGCTCGGGGCCACGCGGGGCACGCGTTGATGAGCATCCACCGCTTCTGAGGCCAGCAAACTGCCGGACCCGAGGTATGTCGTGTCGCACTGGAGGCATGTCGCGCCGCAGGCCGCACTGGAGTTGGGGTGCCCACGTTGGAGGCCCGGGTCGAAGCCACTCGCACCGGGGCGGAGGAGGAATGGACGCGGCTGCGCGGGGCGTGCCCTGGGGCAGTAATACGCTCAAGAGAGATAGTGGCGCAGAGCGCGACAGCGCGATCGTACCCACCGCACGCTGCTCGAGGCGTGCCTCAATTGCGATGTCGCACAGGCCGAGTAGGTCGGCCCCGAGTACCGTTGCGTAGATAGGACACTGTACATAGTCAACGGGGGGTCCAGGAGACTCCCCAGAAAACTCCCACTCCCTTCCCTCTAAACCTCGGCCCCGCTTGTCAACGTCTGTGGACGTCTTGTTGCGTTTGGCTTATTGGTGAGTTACGCTCCGCTCTCGACCAAGCGTAAAGGATCGTCGACTGCGTCTGTGGTTGTGTCCGCGTCCGTGTCTGCAGCTGCATCTACGAGTGCGACGAGATATATTGGCCCGCAGTGTAGCAGAGTCGGCAGTATCGCAGCACACACGGTCGTGGTCACCCATCCTAGGGAACTCGAGCCCTTACTCTCCCTCATCACCCCTTTCTCAGACGTCCTCTCCCCCTCGGCTATCGGCCGTCAACGCACGTCTAGACACATCAGCGTCGGGGCGCAGTATCCGACAGGGAGTCCGCGTCGGGGCGGTCTGAGCTCGAGAGCGGTGCCCACACCGCGGCGAGCGGCAGGCACGGTGAGTGTGCATCAGCGCAACAGAGTGTGTCCTGCACGTCGGGCTCTCTGTGTGTGCACTCCGCAGCGGGAATTTGGAGAAGGCTTCATGCTGTCCCTGACTGTACTGCAAGTTTGACAGTTCATTTATGCATAATACCCACATTCACAAAGAATGTCCACAGCTCTACCATGCAATCTCCTCTGGAACCGGCTTGCCCGCCAACTTGCACCAAACATTCCACCAATCCTTCAATGCAGCTTCGCCTATTTCGCGTTCAGGCCTATTCACCCCATTCCCCTTCTCTTCCAGGTAGGCACTGAGTTTTAAGATAATGTTCTGGTGCAGGCGTGTGATTAATCCGGTAAAGGTGTCCTTCTATAAAGAGATGCGTTAACGAAGAAGCATATGCGGTTTAGACCACATACTCCAAGTGTTTTATGCACATAGTGCACCATCTCTTGAAACTCGCCAGGGCTGTGTTTGTAAAGCTTACGAAAGGATCCCGCATTTGTTGCCATTAGTGTGATAGCACCTATCAGGGAGTCTTCATCTTGAGAGGCTGGTTTTTTTGCAATGGCGAGCAGAATGTTCAGTGAATAGGCATGCCTATCGCCAGTAGAAGAACCAGCAGGACCGCCAGCAAGTAAAGGCCTGAGCAGGATTGGTTGGGTGTTG